ACACACAGGAGAACACGATTTATCTTCTAGGAGCAGAAAAAAGAAATGCTGATAACAGCTCCTAGGAGCATTAAAAAAAACACCAGTGTGCCTTGGAGCCTAAAGAGATTGTAAAGGCTATAGGTTTTTAGCCTAATGCAGTCTCAGCATTAATGTAAAAAACCTTTTAAGTGCAGTTCCCCCACCTCACAAATACCTACCTGAGCTCAAGCTTGGTCCAGCACTCTGTTCAAGAGCAGCGGCGCTGCTCACTCTCTCCCCCCTCACTAAACTCAGTGAGAGCAGAGGAAGCCATTGGCTCCTACTACTATCAATCAAATCCAGTGATGGAGTGCGTAGACATAGCTGAACGACACCATGGGGTTTATTTACTAAAGCTGGAGAGTCCAAAATCAGACTCCCTTCTGCATAGAAACCAATCAGCTTCTAACCTCAGCTTGTTCAATGAAGCTTTGGCAATGAAACCTGGAAGCTGATTGGTTTCTATGCAGAAGTGAGTCTGATTTTGCACTCTCCAGCTTTAGTAAATAAACCCCTGTGTGTCAACAGACACACACAGCGTGGCTTAGGACTGAGCCCGCATGAGTACCAACCCTAGCAAGTAGCATGCGGGTGGGATACTCAAAGGCAGGAAGAGCCAGGAGCGCCAGCGGAGGACCACAGAAGAAGAAGACTGGGACAGCTCTGTGAAAAACCATTACACAGAGCAGGTAAAGTAGAACATCTTTGTTATTTTAGAAGAAAAAAAAAAAAAAAAAAGTATTTCAGTGATATTAAAGGTTTATTTTGCAATGTGTTTTCCAGGACTCTCCATTTACTGCCAGCATCTGGGCCTTGATGAAGGGGGAGTCTTGAGCCCCTGAAATGAGTTGGATGATTCGGATCTCTCGTCAAGTGCAATAAAGACTTACTAGACTCACATTATATCATTTCTACACTGAGATTACTTTGGCACAGGGGCGGACTGACAACTCATGTGGCCCCCAGGCAATAGGGAATCATGGGGCCCTTGTGTCCTTGCCCAAACTCAAAAAAGCCTATGAAAAAGGTACCAGGGGCATCTCATGGGGCCCCCTACTGACCCCGGGCAGTGCCCGAGTTTCCAAACGGTCAGTCCGCCCCTGCTTTGGCACATTCAGAAAAAACAAAAAACACACAAATGTTGTACTTTGCGATTGAGAATTCCGCTTGCTTTGAGACTGAAGAAAAGCCCTATTCCTTTTATTGAGGAGTGAGTAAGAAACCTGTCACATGACTGACAGGTCATGTGATCACAATTGTCCCCTATCCCTGAGTGTCTTCTGTAGCACTATGCAGAGAACACCTCAGGATCAATGAACAAAACATGAATGCAGTTTGAAGCAATCACTGCAATGTCCTAGACAGTAGATAGCAGCTTAGCTCTGAGGAAGAGGGTGTGTCCACCAACACATGCCAGTAATGCGTATGCGCTGTATTGTGCGGAAGAAGAGTACTTCCATTGGTCAGTTTGAAGATGGAGATGTGAGGAGGTCCTGGCCTCTGGATGTGATCGATGATGACATACCTGTTACTTTAACACCATTGTATTTTACTGGATTTTTTTTTTTTTAACCCCTTGGCACCTCCTGACCCTTTACAGGGTTTTAGATGCCAGGAGGTGGGGCAGGGTTTGTGATCATGTGACCACCGCAATCAGCTGTCACAGCGGTCAAATAATCGGAAATCTTCCGATCGAAAACATGGATGGATGGGGGAGTTTGATTTGAATATTAAAAATAAATTTAGTATTACTTTTGGTGCTCAGATACAGCATAGTTCCGCTTTAAAGAGTAAGTCCACTTTTGTAGAGGAAAAACATTCCCTCCTGAAAGATCAATGTACAGTGAAGGATTTTAACAAACTTTGTTGCAGACTCCTACATTTTGTTAATTTTGAAGAAAATAGCGGTTTGTCTGTGTCCATGGGCAAAATGAATGTGAATGGGAGTGACTTTATTATGATCAATTAGCTGCTACACTTGCAGGGTTCTACAAAAGGGAAGTAGCAGGGTCTGCATCCCCTTAGATGGGATTTTTTTTCCCTTGGGGAATCACCAAAAAAAAAAAAAAAAAAAAAAAAAAAAAAAAAACATTTTGTTGCAGGGGATGCCTAAAATCTGATTTGTATCTTAGTGCAGACTTCTAGGAAAATCACACAAGCAGGCAATGACATTTCTGGGGGGGGTGTTCTGTACACCAGAACACCTTCAGGTGGCCATACTGAATTTTACTGAAAATGACAGCACTGCACACTGTCCAAAAAATGCCGGTTTGCGGCGCTTTACCGTGTTTTTCAGTGTTAGGGTGTTTTTACATCTAAAAAAAACTCTAGAAACCCACTAGTCCTGGGTTTTTTTCCAGCCAAAAAACGTTGATTAATCTATGTTAACATGGACACATAGGAAAACATGCTGAGGGGTTTACTGGCTGTAGAAAAAAACATCATATATGTATGTATGTATGTATGTATGTATGTATGTAGTGTGTATTTATATATAAATAAGTATTTTATCCCCTGCTGCGCTTGAATGTTTGCCCACTCACAAAGCAATGATCAGTCTAAAAATCGAATGTTCGGTGTATTGTAACACAGAGACAGAATAGCAACAAAAAATTCAGCAGAAATGCATGTCTAATAAATGATGACTTATTTGCATGTTCACGAGGGAAAAAAGTATTTGATCCCCTTCACAAAACATGACTTAGTACTTAGTGGCAAATCCCTTGTTGGCCATCACAGAGGTCGGACGTTTCCTGTAGTTGGCCACCAGGTTTGCACACATCTCAGGAGGGATTTTGGCCCACTCCTCTTGGCAGATCCTCTCCAAGTCCTTAAGGTTTGGTGGCTGACGTTTGGCAACTTGAATTTTCAGCTCCCTCCACAGATTTTCAATCAGATTAAGATCTGGAGACTGGCTAGCCAGGGCTTGAAGAAGCCGTTCGCCAAATGCGAGGAGAAATTCTCCACCGGGGAGGACAGATGATGGAGCGGCTGTGCTCCAAGCCTCATTTTGAAGCAGAGTTCCAGTTTCCGAGTTCCGGTTTCTTCGGCACCACCGCTGAGGGGACAGGTGCAGGAGAGGTCCGCTCTCCTCCGCTGAGGAGACACCCTCTCCACCGCCGCGGGGGACTCAAGGAGTAAGTACTGTGTACATGTCATATCACTATAATGGAGACAGGGGAGCTGGGAAATACATTACTGTATACAGTTTTATATTTTGGACTCTTTATTCTAAAGAAAAATGTAATTTCATAAGCTTTAAGGGGGTGTGGTTGGGGGCAGGGCTGGGGGCGGGGTTGGGGGAAGGCCAGGGTGGGGTTGGAGGCGGACTTGGGCAAGGTTGGGAGGGGCAACTGGTGGAGAGTAAGGTTTGTGCCTGGCTAGTAGGTCTAGACTTGAAATTTTAAGCCCTGGCCTAAGCCACTCCAGGACCTTAATGTGCTTCTTCTTGAGCCACGCCTTTGTTGCCTTGGCATTGTGTTTTGGGTCATTGTCATGCTGGAACACCCATCCAAGACCTATTTTCAATGCCCTGGCTGAGAGAAAAAGGTTCTTGCCCAAGATTTGATGGTACATTTCCCTATCCTTTGTCCCTTTGATGTGGTGCAGTTGTCCTGTCCCCTTAGCAGAAAAACAGCCCCAAAGCAGAATGTTTCCACCACCATGTTTGACAGTTGGGATGGTGTTCTTGGGGTCATAAGCAGCATCCCTCCTCCTCCAAACATGGGGAGTTGAGTTGATGCCAAAGAGCTTGATTTTGGTCTCATCTGACCACAACACTTTCAACCAGTCCTCCTCTGCATCATTCAGATGTTCAATGGCAAACTTCAGACGGCCTGGACATGTGCTTTCTTAAGCAGAGGGACCTTGCGGGCACTGCAGGATTTCAATCCTTGTCGGCGTAGTGTGTTACCAATTGTTTTCTTGGTGACTGTGGTCCCAGCTGCCTGGAGATCATTGACAAGAGCCTCACGTGTAGTTCTGGGATGATTCCTCACTGTTCTCATGATCATTGACACTCCACGAGGTGAGATTTTGCATGGTGCACCAGACCTAGGGAGACTGACAATTGTTTTGTGTTTCTTCCATTTGTGAATGATTGCACCAACTGTTGTCACCTTCTCACCAAGCTGCTTGGCGATAGTTTGGTAGCCCAGTCCAGCCTTGTGTAGGTCTACAATCTTCTCCCTGACATCCTAGGACAGCTCTTTGGTCTTTGCCATGGTGGAGAGTTTGGAATCTGATTGTTTGATGGCTCCTGTGGACAGGTGTCTTTTATACAGGTAACAAAATGAGATTAGCAGCACTCCCTTTAAGAGACTGCTTCTAATCTCAGCTTGTTACCTGTATGAAAGACACCTGGTAGCGAGAAATCCTGCTGAATGATAGGGGATCAAATACTTATTTCCCTCATGAACATGCAAATCAGTCATCATTTGTTAGACATCCATTTCTTTTGAATTTATTGTTGCTATTCTGTCTCTCAGTGTTACAATACACCGAACATTTGATTTTTAGACGATCAATTTCTTTGTGAGTGGGTGAACATTCAAAATCAGAAGGGGATCAAATACGTATTTCCTTCACTGTGTGTATATATATATATATATATATACACACACACATATACATATACATATACACACACACACAAAAATTCCAATTTTTTTATGTGATATTTTTCCCTCGTGGCTTTCCCCTTTAAGCATGGGAGGGAGTTGAATAGTCATGGTCCATGATGTGTGAGGAAGCATAAGGCAGAAGGAAATGCTTACACCAGAGAACACACTGGCTGAGTGTCACACAGACGCCCATTATAAATATTCTCCAACTTGTATTTGTGGACCATTGATCCCACAACAGAGGAGCTTGTAAGTGTCATGGAGCAAAAACATTATAACATATTCTTCTACCAGCAAGAGAAAAGTGAAGACAAATGCTGTTCCTGTATGGAATAAAAGATACAATGAATCACCTACCTGATGTATTGTTCCATCAATTTCCACAGGAACAATAAAGTCAGCATTGTTAATTGGCTAAAAGAAAAGAACAAAACATCCAATTAAATACAAGATGCATGCTCTGGATGAATACAATAAAGAAGGTGTCACTGACAGAACTGAACCATGAATCATTAATATGGTATCAATGGATGTAGTTGTACACCTGCAGTGTGAAAGGCTACGAAGCACAGCCCCGAGACACGCCAAGTAACAAAGTCTGCCCACAGATGGATCGATATCCTACCAGAAGAGATTGGAGACAGCCTCCTCTGAACTTGTCTCACTGTTGTGAGGTGTAGCCATGTTCTCTTGACTTGGCTGGTGATTGCAGCACAGACGGCGTTTAAATCTGTTCTCCTCCCCCCAGCTCCGCAGAAAACAGAACGATTAGTGTTTCAACTTTTCTGCACGTCGACCTTAAAAGGAAACCTGTGCTTGACAGTGGGCTTGTTATTCCGTCATTTTAGTGATTTACAGCATCTTGTGTTTTAGGGCTTGTTCACAACAAAAGCCCCATTGAACTCAATGATGCTGGTGTGCACTGGGAGGAACAGTGCTGGTGCGCCAATCCCAACACAGCACATGGTTTGTTTGTTTTTTTTTTGGACCTTTGTGTAACCGCTTCAATACCGGGGCACGTCTCCCCTCCCCCTTCCTGCCCAGGCCAATTTTCAGCTTTCAGCGCTGTCACACTTTTAATGACAATTGCGCGGTCATGCAACACTGTACCCATAACCACTGTAACCAGAAGAGATTGGAGACAGCCTCCTCTGAACTTGTCTCCCCTCCCCCTTCCTGCCCAGGCCAATTTTCAGCTTTCAGCACTGTCACACTTTTAATGACAATTGCGCGGTCATGCAACACTGTACCCATATTACATTTTTTTCACAAACATAGAGCTTTCTTTGGGTGATATTTATTCACCACTGAGGTTTCTATTTTTTGCTAAATAAACAAAAACAAAATTTTGAAGGAAAAAAAAAAAGCTTTTTTTTTTTTTGTGTTTCAGTTATAAAATGTTGCTAATAGGTAATTGTTCTTAAAAAATTTAGGCTAAAATGTATTCTGCTACATTTATCTGGGGAAAATAACCCAAATTAGTGTTTATTATTTAGACTTTAGGAAAGTTATAGAGTCCACAAACTATAGGATGTATCTACAAATCGATCAATCCCGATGTACTGACAGCCAATCTCATTTTTTGAGGCCCGAGAATACCGGGACAGTACAGATATCCCCCAAATGGCCCCTTTTTGGAAAGTAGACAGTCAAGGTATTTAGTAATAGTCATGAAGAGTTTTTTGAAGTTGCCATTTTTTGTCATAATTTTTTAGAAAATGAATTAAAGAAAAAAAAAAACACACATTTTCACGTTTTTTTTTTCATACTATATACTGTAACCAGTGCAGTACAGCGTCATCATAACTGGTGTGGTGGTGACCAGGGACACTGACTGGTGACAGTACAAAAAAAAAAAAAAAAACTTTTTTAAACAAACTGACCAGTTACCATAGTAACAATGTACTACTCTGGGGAAGTGATCTGGGTTTTTGTTTTTTTTTTTTTTGTTTTTTTGTTTTTACACACCTTGTGATTACTTATAGCAGTGAATTTCATTCCCATCAGCAAGCATTTTACTGAATGAAAATTGATTCATTCAGTAAGTATTGTTGTGATAAGCTGTGATTGGCCACCGCTAACCATATGGTACAGATGGGCTGTGAATGGCCCTGTCTGTACCATGTGATCACTGTGACCAATCACAGCTACCAAAACAATTGTAGCCATTCATGGTTTACAATTGTCATGTGACCTGCTGTGATTGGTCACAGCGATCACATTACTGGCAGCGGGCCGGTACAGTGACCTATCGTCAGCTGTGTCTGGTGGACACAGCTGGTGATAGATCGCACCTGCAGCAGAGCCGTGCGCAACGAGGAATGTACTGCCCAGCAGTGATATTACAATAGGCCGGGCGGGAAGTGGTTAAAGGGCACATGAGTGCACTTATTATTAATATACAGGATTTATATAGCGCCAACAGTTTGCTCAGCGCTTTACAATATAACGGGAGACAATACAGCAACAATACAGTTCAATACAAGAGGGAAAAGAGGGCCTGATCCTGGGAGCTTACAATCTAAGAGGAGGGGGCTAGTGGTACAAAAGGTAATAACTGCACTTAGTTCTGTGCTCCTGTGACCCAGATTCACTAACGTCACTCAGCTAGTCCAGGCTCTGGAAGGATCCTGACTTTAACGTCAGGATTCACCCAGATGCCTGAGCGACCCCCACCCGCCCTTTACACAGCCAGTCACTCCAGTGAGTGCTGGAGGGGCAGGGCACAGAGCCCGTGACTTACAGTGGACTGTCATTGGACAGTTGCATGTGACACTGTAGTTGGAACAGGATTCAAACACTGTGCTGAGTTCCTATTATAGTGCAGACTGTTCATAGAGAGGAGTGTAATAACACCGGCAGGGCAGCTCCAGATGCATGAGAGAAGCAAGCAAGCAAGCTCCGGGTCAACATTCACATGAAATAAGAATGGCTTGCCACAACAATTGAGAGTTCAAACAGAACTTTACATTTCCTCAAATTACATATTTTTATTAAGAAAATGTCCTCCTATTTAAAAAGCCATTCAGGGCAAAGTGGTAGTATCTGCAGATAGTCCCTCTCCCCATCAGTCAGCCATTCTCAGGGTTCCCTGAGCTCCAATTGATTGACCTCCCATCTGGTGCCTGCACAGTTCTGGAGCCAAGGCCATGGCATGACACCAAAGAACGTTTCAGCTTTCTGTAAGGCTGGCATTCTGACCATCACAGTAAGCTGGACTTTCTCACCACTGACCTCCAACGCAAGGAACATTTTTCCCACAACCCCCAAATAAATTGGTTTACCAGGGGCTTCCCAAGGCCTGAAAATTATTTAAAAGGGTTCCTCTGGGGTAAAATGGTTGAGAAAGGCTGCTATAAGTTATATTTCGTGAGCCATGCTCCCAACACAGCTGCCTGCAGAGAGGGGCTTCTGTGAACATGTGACTTTCTCAATGTGTCCGCTTACCAGGCCTAACACTGACAGGGCTTCGTTCTTCACCCGGTCTTCCATCCGGATTCACGGGCTCCAGCCGCTTGAATGGCCGGGGCCATAGTAAGCCGCGGTACATCGCTCTACATCCCGCGGCATACTGTGTGCCTTGAATGTAGAGCGTCACTGCATACGCAGGCGATGTCATCAGCTGCTGCCGATGCAGATATCTCCTAAATGGTGCACATGTAGGAAATATTCATTGTACCTACAAGGTACGCCTGTCTGTGAGCTCCAGGCTTACCAGACCTCAATCTGTTATACATGCGCTTCTACTACAGAGCCTCACTAAATTTATAGAGTTAGGACTGCAGATATCGGGGTGCCATGAAGAGGCTCTGCAGCTTACGCATGTATTTGCAAATGTGTGCTAGCTAATCCCTGTTTTTAACATGAACTGTTAGACAGGACAATTCGGTTGGTTTCAGGCCTGTTGAAAAGTTGAGCTGGGAATTTTTTCTTTGTTGATGCTTGACTGTTTGTGAGATTACCTGTAGGGTTCAAAAGGAGAGCTTACTATGGCTTTTCATTTCATTAGCTATCCAGAATATAACGGAATCGATCGATCAGGGAGGCATTTTTTTCCCTGCAGGAGCAGATTGGATCATGCTTTGCTGGGTTTTTTGCCTTCCTCTGGAACAACTGTGGGTGTAGGATTATAACCTTTTTTTTTTTTTAATGGTTGAACTGGATGGACTTTTGTCTTTTTTCAGCCAGACTAACTATGTAACTATGCTGCAGCATAAAGGAAGCCCGGCTGTGTTTGCATGTTATTAGCCTGTGTTGCTGCAGCATGAAGGAAGCCCAGCTATGTTTGCATGTTATTAGCCTGTGTTGCTGCAGCGTGAAGGAAGCCCGGCTGTGTTTGCATGTTATTAGCCTGTGTTGATGCAAGATAAAGAAAGCCTGGCTGTGTTTGCATGTTATTAGCCTGTGTTGCTTCAGCATGAAGGAAGCCCGGCTATGTTTGCATGTTATTAGCCTGTGTTGCTGCAGCATGAAGGAAGCCCGGCTATGTTTGCATGTCTGGAAGGATGAACTATGTGCAAACACTGTCCCTTTGCCATAAATACAGTCAGGTCCATAAATATTGGGACATCAACACAATTCTAACATTTTTGGCTCTATACACCACCACAATGGATTTGAAATGAAACACACAAGATGTGCTTTAACTGCAGACTGTCAGCTTTAATTTGAGGGTATTTACATCCAAATCAGGTGAACGGTGTAGGAATTACAACAGTTTGCATATGTGCCTCCCACTTGTTAAGGGACCAAAAGTAATGGGACAATTGGCTTCTCAGCTATTCCATGGCCAGGTGTGTGTTATTCCCTCATTATCCCAATTACAATGAGCAGATAAAAGGTCCAGAGTTCATTTCAAGTGTGCTATTTGCATTTGGAATCTGTTGCTGTCAACTCTCAAGATGAGATCCAAAGAGCTGTCACTATCAGTGAAGCCATCATTAGGCTGAAAAAACAAAACAAACCCATCAGAGAGATAGCAAAAACATTAGGCGTGGCCAAAACAACTGTTTGGAACATTCTTAAAAAGAAGGAACGCACCGGTGAGCTCAGCAACACCAAAAGACCGGAAGACCACGGAAAACAACTGTGGTGGATGACCGAAGAATTCTTTCCCTGGTGAAGAAAACACCCTTCACAACAGTTGGCCAGATCAAGAACACTCTCCAGGAGGTAGGTGTATGTGTGTCAAATTCAACAATCAAGAGAAGACTTCACCAGAGTGAATACAGAGGGTTCACCACAAGATGTAAACCATTGGTGAGCCTCAAAAACAGGAAGGCCAGATTAGAGTTTGCCAAACGACATCTAAAAAAGCCTTCACAGTTCTGGAACAACATCCTATGGACAGATGAGACCGAGATCAACTTGTACCAGAGTGATGGGAAGAGAAGAGTATGGAGAGGAAAGGAACTGCTCATGATCCTAAGCATACCACCTCATCAGTGAAGCATGGTGGTGGTAGTGTCATGGCGTGGGCATGTATGGCTGCCAATGGAACTGGTTCTCTTGTATTTATTGATGATGTGACTGCTGACAAAAGCAGCCGGATGAATTCTGAAGTGTTTCGGGAATATTATCTGCTCATATTCAGCCAAATGCTTCACAACTCATTGGACGCTTCACAGTGCAGATGGACAATGACCCAAAGCAGACTGCAAAAGCAACCAAAGAGTTTTTTAAGGGAAAGAAGTGGAATGTTATGCAATGGCCAAGTCAATCACCTGACCTGAATCCGATTGAGCATGCATTTCACTTGCTGAAGACAAAACTGAAGGGAAAATACCCCAAGAACAAGCAGGAACTGAAGACAGTTGCAGTAGAGCCTGGCAGAGCATCACCAGGGATGAAACCCAGCGTCTGGTGATGTCTATGCGTTCCAGACTTCAGGCTGTTATTGACTGCAAAGGATTTGCAACCAAGTATTAAAAAGTGAGTTTGATGATTATTATTCTGTCCCATTACTTTTGGTCCCTTAACAAGTGGGAGGCACATATGCAAACTGTTGTAATTCCTACACCGTTCACCTGATTTGGATGTAAATACCCTCAAATTAAAGCTGACAGTCTGCAGTTAAAGCACATCGTGTGTGTTTCATTTCAAATCCATTGTGGTGGTGTATAGAGCCAAAAATGTTAGAATTGTGTCGATGTCCCAATATTTATGGACCTGACTGTATAAAAAAGGTGGTGGCTGAACTTGCAATGGGCTACAAACATGCGATGCGCTGTATTTGAACCCACACAAGGCCAGAGCAGCATGCATTGCTCCAGGTCACATATACAGTACAGGTACCTTAAATGAACTGTGTACTAAGGTTTCATCCAGATCAATGACCACGCACTTCTTGCCATAATCGGACACTTTCAGCTCTGGAAGGAGGTATTTAGTAGGTGGCTATCAGGAAATAAAAGAATAAAGAACTTTTAAAAGATCGTAACAAACAAACAGTTCAAACAACATTATATTTGTAGCTCAGCAGGAGCTTTCAGGGTTTTCCATGCATACAAGCATAATATAAGAAGGCAAAAACAAAACCAGTTAGCAGCAAATGACTCACAAAATTAAAGAGTTGTAAATTATTTTAATTTCTTAATACAACTTTATTCAGAAATGTTAAAGTGGAACTCCACATACTTTTATTGTTTGGGATAGACTAGATTAGAAATGGTCCATCCTTTCCTGCTGCCTTGTCCTCAATTAGGGAGTACTGGCCTCACTTCCATTGTGGTTTCCAGGACTGAAGTGACCAAAATATCCCCAACTGGACACAGCAATAAAAACGTCGGACAATTCTAAACCTTCTACACTAACCGAAAAAGATGTACGAGGTGTGACAATTTAATTCCCAGAATGCCCAGGGCATAGCACTGATGGCGAGTCACACGGACATTCACTTTCACTGACATGTTTAACTTGCACTTACCTGGGTTGCAGACCAGGTGAACGTAGAAGTAACGTGTGTGCATTGCACTATTGACGGAAAATGAGTGACTGGAATCCGGAGCAGCGGATTAACATCAAATTTTGTGTGAAAATTGGCAAAGGTGCGCGCTAATCTTTAGCTCTGTTACAACAGTCTTATGGTGAACATTCCATGAAGAAATCAAGTGTTTTTTTAATGGCATAAGCGGTTTAAGTAAGATTGGGTAACCAAAACCACAAAGGACAGATGCAAATGTGGACAATGAAAAGGTTCTGGGAATCTGGAAGAAAAGACAGAACTCTAGCCTGACAAATGAAATCTCCACGACAATGCTCCTGCACATATGCATAAAGTGTTTGGTCAAGTTTCAGAATAGATTACTGAGCCAGGAACACGGAACCACCTCATTCCCCTAACTTGGCACCCTGCAAAATGAAAAAAAAAATTATTTCAAAAGGAAACAGATTTGATGACATTACAGAGATCCAGCGAGCCGGGAACGCAGCGTTCCAGAAAACAAAATTGCAGGAAGGTTTCCAGCAGCGGCACGGTCTTGAAAAGTGCATCATGTCACCTTCAAAGCAGTCCTCTTGTGAAAACAGCCGCTAGTGTATAGCTAAGCAATTTTTTTAATTTTATTTTTGTACAGTCCATCCCGGGAATTAAATTGTCACACTTGGTATTTGCTGGAGTTCTGCTTTAAACATTTTCTCCACCCAAGATGATGAATTAGCAGCAAGACGAAGGGCTCAAGCACAGCGCAGACAGTAAGCTTGCGGCTAGATCCAGAAGATTCTTTAGTCCAAGCATAAAATATTAAAAAAACGGTAACGTTATATCTGGTGAGAAGCAAAAAAGTTAGATAAAGCAAACGCCTGCCAAGCAAAACACAGTTTGTCCTGATGATTGAAAGGAACATTTTCGGGCTGTCTCCAGAAAAGTAATAGAGGGGAAATCTTCCAATGGGGACGCTAGTTCTGGTGACTTGGGGGATCCCAAAGAATTTTCTTTAATTTGCAGGGATTTCCTCTCACTTCCTGTTCGGCTACGGGACAGGACGTAAAGGTAAATCTCCCCAATGGGACAAAGAGGGCAAAAATGAAGCGGACAGCAGTTATAACCTCCCTCTCCTTACTCTATTCAAAATGAAAAAAAAGTTTTGCCTATAGCTCTACTTTAATGGTTTAAAGACCTGAAGAAGCCTTCCCCAGCCAAACCTGGATTGGGATATAGATGCGATGCTTTTAGCTGTAATATAAATGTGCATATATTAAAACATTTTAGTTTCTATACCACCGAGTGCGCATTTGTGCTTTGAGTTCCTTGCAGAATTTCAGCTGAAGGACTTTCATTACATAACCAAAGAAGGAGCCTGAGAGTGGCCATGCTGCTGGGATAGAGGCTGCACTGACAGTAGGTGGGTGCACAGGTCTTGGAATCCACAGTGCATGCCTGCAGTGGGAAAGCAGGGGAACCAATTTGTTATCTAGCAGGAAATTTCAGTTACCGTTGGAGCACAGAGTGCCTTTTACCTTCGCAGTGATGAGCCAAGATTCTTGCTGAACCATAGAAAACTATCAACATAGCAGGCCAGTGGGCCCAATTGGCTGCGGCCAGGGAATTCCCCACCCTGCCGCCCCACATAATAAAGGAGTGGGGATGCTGGTGACATCGTTAAACTAGTATGGCCACATGAACACAATGGCAGTTGGGTGTTTTTTTCTCTGCCTCTAAACTCCTATAAAAGCCTATGTGTGAACAAAAGCAGACAAGGGCATACTCTCATCGTGCATTACCGTGGTACACCACGTATTTATTGTGCAGACAAATAGATGTATACTCACAAACCAAAGGAAATTAAAAGCAAATTATGTAGTCTGCAAAGACAGTCAATAATGCTGTGCCCTTGATAGGGATAAGCTGACGCGTTTCGAGAGACAAACCCCCTTACTCCCCTTTAGCTCTGAGGAAGGGGGTCCGTCTCCCGAAATGCGACCCTTCCTCAGAGCTAAAGGGGAGGAAGGGGGTTCGTCTCCCAAAATGCGACCCTTCCTCAGAGCTAAAGGGGAGGAAGGGGGTTCGTCTCCCGAAATGCGACCCTTCCTCAGAGCTAAAGGGGAGGAAGGGGGTTCGTCTCCCGAAACGCGTCAGCTTATCCCTATCAAGGGCACAGCATTATTGACTGTCTTTGCGGACTACATAATTTGCTTTTAATTTCCTTTGGTTTGTGAATATCTATTTATCTACACAATAAATACGTGGTGTACCATGGTGTAATGCACGATGAGAGTGCGCCCTTGTCTGCTTTTGTTCACCAGTGTCCAGATTCCCCGATCTTTGAAGGGCAGCACCTCTTCGTTTGGCATTCTGAATTTTCTTTGGTCTGCATGAGGATTTGAGCGCTGGTTTCGTTTGTTTGTCTTTGAAAAGCCTATGTGTGCATGGATACATGGGCTAACATGAAGGGCATTTAGGACAAGAAAAAAAAAATTGAAAAAGCCAGACGTCCTTAGGAGCAGCTGAAAAAACATCCAGTGTGCATAAAGCCATAAAGTGTACATTCACCTTTTGATAAATAAAATGCCAAAAAAATTAAACTCTACACCCCCACCCCCCAGTACTTAGTCTAGGGCACGGGTGTCAAACTGGCGGCCCTCCAGTTGTTGCCAAACTACAAGTCCCGTGAGGCATTGCAAGATTAACAGTTACAAGCATGACTGCCAAGGGCAGAGGCATGATGGGACTTGTAGTTTCTCAACAGCTGGAGTGCCGCCAGTTTGACACCCCTGGTCTATGTGGACAACTAAACTTCTCACCCACAGAGGTGATGTAGCGGTCATGAGATTTTAAAACCACACTGTTCTTCCTCTTCTTTCCCTAGGGATACTGGGACAATTATGATTGGTTGGTGCCAACATCTTACCAATCAAAATGTAGAAGGTGTGTGTGGTGTTCGTTTACCTTTTTCCTATAAAATGTGAACTTGCACTTTAAATGGTGACTGCTCTTCGTGGTTGTGTAGGCTTCTCCCAGGTACTCGGCCCATACACCAAAAACACACTGCAACAGACTGATCAGCATCAACGTAAAACACGTGTGCTGTAAGGAAAACGGTGCTCAAGCCCATGCTCAAAAAAGTGTGCACAGAATTAGGACCATGCACACACCTACATGTGTGCATTAGTGTGCTGTGCGTACTCATGAGTGTGTATGTTGATGAATTATCGTGCCTAATGGCCTTTTAAAGCCCTACAGGACTCAGGATCATTGCTGAGTGGCCATCTGCTCGTGACCTGATTCTGTGTGCACCCATATCCCGACCCTGCTTACTCTCATTGCCGACTCTGGATTTTGACCCAACCTTGCTTCCTGCCTGCTGTTGCGGTACCTATTTCGCTCACTTGAAACGGACCTTGGCCTGGATCCGACTCCCTTCCTGGGTCCCAACTCTGTATTCCCCACTGCCCAATTGTTGCAGACTTCTGCCTGTCTGACCACACATCTGAGTCCTGCATCTGCCAGCTTGCTTGCCGCATCCCCTGATCTCCTACAGGCACCCATGCCACTCTGTGCCCTGTTATACCTCGTCACCATCCCCAGGGGAAACGGCAAGAAGCCCTCTCATCAACTCGGCCTCAACCAGGTACATGACAGCTCTATGTAGCTAAGTGGTTAGCACTTCCGCCTAGCAGTACTAGGGTCATAGGTTCAAATCCCAACCACGGCACCACCTGCCTGGAGTTTGCATGTTCTCCCTGTGCCTGCGTGGGTTTCCTCCAGGTACTCCGGTTTCCTCCCACACTCCAAAGACATGCTGGGAGGTGAATTTGATCCTGTCAAAATTGGCCCTAGTATGTGTATGTATGACTGTAAGTTAGGGACCTTAGATTGTACACCCCTTGAGGGTTAGGGACTGATGTGAATGTACAATATATATGTAAAGTGCTGCGTAAATTGACGGCGCTATATAAGTACCTGAAATAAATCTATGGCTAGGGAGTGACATAAATGGGTAAATGTGCTCCGTAAAAGTGCCAAATATACTGATGCTAAATAAATATATGGCATTAATGAATAAATTAAAAAATGATCAAATATTTATTTTAAAGGACCATTTATCTCTAGAGCTGCTCAGACTGAGCTTTCAGACAACGCTCAGAACTTCCCAAGCAAATGAATTCCACTCTTGCAACATTTAGGATTTACTATGTTGATTAGAAAAATTAAAACACATAAATATATGTATAAACCTAGCAACAGTCAGGCAATAAAAGAGAGCAAATTTATCAGAAGGCAGCCAAAATGTGAGTATAACTTATCACACCAGCTGAAATCAGTTTTCTAGCGGAGATGTTAATGGAAGAACAGCAAACATATATTAACAAGAAAGCAAAATAACAAATGGCAGAAGATAAAAAGGGGTAAAATAAAATACATACAGTAGGAATGGTAATGACTTGCGTCTGATCACCCTATGAGAGAACAAAAAGCAGAAAGATTACTAAAACGAGAGATCTAATGGAGGGGAAATGAAAAGGAAGCACGGCAAGGACACGACAAAAGGATGTACAATGAGCTCTATAGCAGCGGAAGAACCGCCTTCCACTGGATGTTCTATGGCTGAAGGCCGCAGATTGTGTGTACCTGCAGAAATCATCAGGGAGAATAATCCACAAGCTGCTTTATGGAAAGGCACTCTGGATGGAATTCACAGGTAAAAATAAAACATTACAGTTCAAAATGAAGGTTTTGAGGACATTTTCCATTGCAATGCTTTCCATCCAGTAATTTCCACCAAAAAAAAAAAAAAAATTGTAGGTGCACACAGGTATATTGGCCCCCTAAGACTTGGACCCCTAATATTTAGTAAAAATCCACTAAAAAGTCTCTTAAAAGGAGGGCAAAGTCCATGTCACTAGGGCAGGCTTCCCAGAAGTAGACTGTATAGGAAAGTAAAGGAGAAAGGAATGCGCCTCTAAGGGCTTGTTTACATTTGCGTGGAAATGTGGCATTGGACGCGCTTTTTTTTTTTTTTTTTTTTTTTTTAAAGCGCTCCGAATGCCAATCAAAGCCCGTCACTAAATAAAATGGTGAGCTTATAGTTCTGTTTACATGTTGCGTTTGCTTCAAATATTATACCCCATGTCATTTTGTTGGTGCTCAAAAAGGATCTTCAAAAGACGGCCCTTATCCCTAAATTTCCAATTACAGTGTGCAAAAAATTCCTTAACCACTTCCAGTCCGGACACTCCCCCCCCCCCCCCCCCCCCCCCTTCCTGTCCAGGCCACTTTTCAGCTTTCAGTGTTATCACACTTTGAATGACAATTGCGCGGTCATACAACACTGTACCCATATGCATTTTTTTGAGACAGATAAAACTTTATTTTGGTGGTATTTATTCACCACTGGGAGATTTTTATTTTTTTTGCTATGTAAATGAAAAAGTCCAAAAATGTTGAAAAAGTTTATTTTGCAAATAAATAATATTGCATCATAAATCTTGGCCAAACTTTATTCCATTATCTTTTTAGTAAAAAAAAAAAAAAACCAAAATTAGTTTATAACCAAAAATTATAATTTGTAAACAATTTTTTTTTTTATATTATTTATGGTTTTTTGTATGTTTTGTTTTACATACTGTCACCCTAGCAGTACAGTGTCACCATGGTGACACTGTACTACTTGTGGGGGGGTGAAGATTTTTTTTTGGTTTTTTTTTTTTTTTACACTGATTAGTGCTTTTACAGCCCTTATGGGTGTAAAAGCACTAATGTTTCCTTCTCTCTGGCTGCATTCTTGCAGCCATTGAGAACCACTGTGTGAGCTGTGATTAGTCACAGCTTGTCACATGGTACAAGGCTGTTGTGAATAGCCTTGTACCATGTGACCTTTGCTTACTACGTGTGAAATCTGTAAATAATCACAATGTCCTCAGAAGTGACATCTTGCTTACTACTCTGCATGTGATCACTGATTGGCCAATCAGTGATCACATGATCGGGACCTTGCACAGAGGTCCCATCCAACGATTGGTGTTCCACTGTGTCCGGAGGACACAGCGGGCACCGGATCGAGGTGCTGCACGCTCCCAAGCAGGGGGCGGGGAGGCAGTTTATAAATGGCCACCCAACCCTGCACTGCCACCGTCTGGCCGTTTATATACAACGGACGGATGGGAGGTGGTTAAGTTGCTCACCTATATGTTGTTAGCAGCAAGAATCACTATAGCTAGACATTGGAAGAGATCACTTACTCCACTTGAATATGTTAAGAACAAATCGAGCTGGATCATGATTAACGACACTTACCTGTGTTCTGCACAACAATACTACCAAATCTGATAAAACGTGGGACCCCTGGATTAATTATATTTCTGTGCTTTGATATTTCCTGATTTGACCCTTTTCTCTACTTTTCTTGTTTCCACTTCTTATTACTTTTTGCTGTCCCCTATTTTATTCTTCCGTTTTCTGGGGCTAAATGTACCTATTCTTTTACTTATTATACATTTGTTATGTTTTTCTTAACGCTTGTTCTGTGCAATTCCTGAGGCTGCAATCACTGACTTCCGTATATTAGATGGACTTATTGCTGGGTTTTTTTTTAATCCGAATTGCCCAAGTGGTTTCGTACAGCCTCTGATTATCTCAGATATGTCTGTTATAATCGATGTTGGTCGATATTTTAATATAACATAACAGTTGTCTTTATACAATTTGTAACTTGATAAAAATTTTCAATAAAAACTATTGGAAAATAAAAGGGTCTCCAAAGCCTCCATAGGAGTCGATGACAAAGCTCACTAACAGCACCTGCAGCTTTGGAGAGGCTTGTATTCAGCTTTAGCTTTGTAGGTATTGCAGGTATGAGATATCCCAAAAAGTTCTGAAAAAACAGCAAGTGAACCAGAAAGACAATCAGCAATCGCTTCCAGTTCATGTGTATATATTCTGGGAGTGTCTGGTGCAGCCGTCATATCTGGTGAGCAGCAGGAAGGTGAGCGGGGTCCAGACTGGAGCAGACAGCACACGTGGTGCGCAACATGGAAACTAGAGCGGAAGGGGAGAGGCGGAGAAGGGCAGGAGAGGAGCAGTGTATACAGTGAGGGAGCAGTGCATACAGCGAGGGAGCAGTGCATACAGCGAGGGAGCAGAGTATACAGCGAGGGAGCAGTGCATACAGCGAGGGAGCAGTGCATACAGCGAGGGAGCAGTGCATACAGCGAGGGAGCAGTGCATACAGCGAGGGAGCAGTGTATACAGTGAGGGAGTGCAGTGCATACAGCGAGGGAGCAGTGCATACAGCGAGGGAGCAGTGTATACAGCGAGGGAGCAGTGTATACAGTGAGGGAGCAATACAGCGAGGGAGCAGTGCATACAGCGAGGGAGCAGAGTATACATTCAGGCTCCCTCACTGGCTGCCGCTATACGTCACTGCTGGTTTTCTAAATCTAATTCCTGGCTTTTTTTTCTTCCTTTCACTATAGTTCCGAGAAGGAGCCGTCACTCTCCATGCCGCTAAAGAAAATAAAGGGGCGGGGTCACCTAGTGACATTACCCAGTGACCCTGACCTTTAGTTTCCTTTAGCAGCGGGGCGAATGACATCTCACCCAGCCATGCTCCCTTGCCACCTCTCCATTGCAGCACATCAGTCTAGCTAAGCTCCAGTGTTGACTGGTGTCAAAGCTAGCCAGGCCTGAGAAGGGTCACATGGTGAAGTTTACATGCCCCTTTAAACCCTGGAAGCCCCACTGCGTCGTGGAGGAAGCTTGGACGCACACCTGCCTGGAAGGATGGGCTATATATGCTTTCCCCTTAAGAGACAGTGCCCATGTCTCCTTATGCCAGTTGGAATAATTCAGGCTGCAATTTTTCATGACCATCAAAGGTTGTAAGTTGTTGCCATCATCAGTGCGACTTCACTGGCTCTAGTAGGCCCTGTATTCCCGTCTGCAAACCTTTGAATAGACGTGTGATCCTTTCATATGACACCAGCTTGTCCACGTGACAACTAGGGCTTCCATCCGTCTACAGGAAGCCAAATGACAGCACCAGAGGACAGCATGTGACAATCACTGCAGCTGCTGGAATAGGAGAGGCTCCTGATGACAGATGACACCCTGAATGAGGTCTTCCAAGGAAGTCACTAGAGCAGCCTTCGCTCGTAAATGACCCCTACACTCTGCTGCCCTGGAACGGCTTCTAAATGCTTTTCTATTCTAAAGAACCACACACATCACTAACTCAACACAGGCCCAGCAGGTCCAAGCTTCTGCTGGAACTATATTACCCAAGAGCAGTGGATGGGGCATAGAATCGCCAGCCACTAATTGACCAGCTAGGGGCTGGTCCTTCAACCATGGTGCATGCATAAAAGCATAATCCACCCTTTGCAAAAAAAATCAATGAATGCACCCACATTAATCACCTGCCGCCCGCCATATAGTAATATGAGCGCAAGATGGTTCTCTCGTTCTGGGAGGACGTCATATGACATCGTCCCATTCTAATCGCGCATGTGCGGCTCCGGGAGCGCGCGGCGATCGGCGGTGCGCTGTTTCTCTCGGACACAGCAGATCACTGATCAACGGAAAGAGCCGAAGATGTCGGCTCGGTCATGTGATCAGCTGTGTCCAATCACAGCTGATCACATGTAAACAGGGAAATGCCGGTTATCGGCATTTCTCTCCTCATGAGCTGTCACGCTGACAGAGCAGAGGAGAGCTGGCAATCGGCTTTCCTTGGAGGGGACATGTACCCAGATCATCAGAGCACAGATGATTAGTGTGCCCTGATGATCGGTGTAGCCCCAGCAGTGCCACCTATCAGCGCCCATCAGTGCCAGCTGTCAGTGCTCATCCATGCCACCTGCCAGTGCCCATCAGTGCCACATTTCAGTGCACATCAATGCCACATATCAGTACCCATCAGTGATGCCAATCAGTGCCGCCTATCAGTGTGCGTCAGTGCCGCCTATCAGTGCCGCCTATCAGTGCCATATAGGAGTTCTGCCTTTCAGTACCCATCAGTGATGCCTGTCAATGCCCATCAGTGCCACCTACCAGTGCCTCCTCATCAGTGCCACCTATCAGTGTCCATCAGTGCAGCCTATCCGTGCCCATCACTACAGCCTCATTAGCGCACATCAGTGAAGGAGAAAAAGTACTTATTTACAAAATTTTATAACAAAAACTAGAAAAAAACTTTTCAAAATTTTCAGTGGTTTTTGGTTTCTTTAAGAAAAAAGAAAAAAACCCCGAGGTGTTTAAATACCACCAAAATAAAACTCTGTCACAAAAAAAATGATAAAAATTTCATATGGGTACAGTGTTGCATGACCGCGCACAATTGTCATTCAAAGTGTGACAGTGCTGAAAGCTGGAAATTGGCCTGGACAGAAAGGGGGTAAAAGTGCCCTGTAGGCGAGGGGTTAACATTTAAAAAATGTGCATTTACTTAAGTTTTTGCTTTTGAGCCTGCAGAGTACGTGTCAAACACAAGGCCTGTGGGGCAAATTCAGCCAACCAGACCATTTCCTGTGGACCTCGCACTTCTCCTCCAGCTGTTGCTCCCCCCCCCCCCATCGTCTCAGCCCCCTCAGGACAGAACTCCTCTGTCAGATCCAGAGCTTTTCCGTGCAGCCATGGAGAGGCTCAACATTGCGCGCCCCCCCCCCCCCCCATCCCCAATCTAAGCAACAGGCAGCAGAGAGAACAGAATTTCTCCTACAGATCCTGCACCCCTCTGTGCAAGCCATATCAACCCCCCCCCCCCCCCCCCCCCCCCACTCCCATCTCCACCTCCCCTGGTCTCAGCATAAAGTAGACTCAAGCAGCTGACTTCAGCCCTCCTCCACACCCTGCACTTTCTGCTTGCCAGCTCCTCCCCAGCAGCACAAGGTAAGGGGGTACACTGTGATAGAAGGAAGGATGGGGGGTTCTTGACTTCTGCTGATGGGGTGCTCTGGACATCTAGCCTTTAGATAGAACTGTCCCTTAGTGCTGATGCGGCCCACAATGAGACTGAGTGCGACACCCCTGCTGGAGAGCATTGCGATTATTGCATCATATGTGCATTGCCAGACTCCTGCATACTGTTCTTCCAGCTCTACATAGGGGAGGTAAGGACCACGGGCAGACTGACCATTTGGAAAGTTGGGCACTGCCCGAGGGCCCGGGGTCAGTAGGGGGTCCCAGGAGATGCCCCTGGTACCTTTTTCATAGGTTTGTTTAGTTTGGGCAAGGACACAGGGGCCCCATGATCCCCTATTGCCTGGGAGCCTCATGAGTTGTCAGTCCGCCCCTGGTATGGACATTGAGTTACAAGTAGTAAACAATGGTTCAGTGACCTCAACACACTTTGTGCTGCATTGAAATTCATGAGTCTCTCCACTGCAGTAGCAGATAGGACTTGTAATCTCCCATTCACATGGTACACTGAGGCTACTTAAAGCAGAACGTCACCCTAAAGGGGAAGTTCCGCTTTATGCCCTTCTTTCCTGTTTTTAACGGTTTTTGAAAGGGCAGGGGGCGTTGGGGGGGTTCTGGGGGTATATACAGGTACCAGGTTCACTGGAAGTTCTCCCCACCCTGCAACCTTCTAGGACACATCACGGCCCCCGAAGGCTGGGGGACCATTTACAAAGCGCAGCATGGCTTGGCTGTGACGCACACAGTCACAGCTGGCTGCCCACAGTTAACATGCCGGCGCCATGACCTGTAAACCGGAAAAGAAGCAGCTCGCACAAACATGACAAAGGACCCCTGGACAGTATCTGTAGCTGCTGACTTTTAATGTTTTTGAAAAGGCTGAAGACCCGCTTTAATGCAAAGAAATATTAGAGCTAAAACAGACAGTGCAAGGGACCGATGTTTTTGGCAAAATGTTTCCCATGTAGGATATCTGGGCCTCAATTTCTAGGACTTCAGGTGGCCCTGGCATGTTGCGTGCTATCATCTGGGTGGAAATTAGTAGACTTACCTATTACACTCAAAGTATTGGGGAAAAAAAAAATGGAAAAAGGGTTCCAATCCGGCTGTCCCGGGTCTCTGCCTCCTTGTTGACTGAGACAGTAAGCAGGAGCCACTGTTGTCAATCACAGCCAGTCAGCCAGTGACAGAGTGGGGTGGGACCAAGCCACAGCTCCGTCTGTAAATGGACACACGGAGCAGCGGGTGCCCCCATAGCAAGCTGCTTGCTGTGGGGGCACCCGACAGGAGGGAGGGGACAGGAAAAGCAGAGGGGGCCCTGAGAAAAGGAAGATCCAGGTTGCTCTGTGCAAAACCACTACACACAGCAGGTAAGTATAACGTTTGTTATTTAAAAAAAAAAAATGAACTTTTTAGAATCGCTCGAACTTAAAGCCCTGGTTCACATCAGTGCGACCTGACAGTTCCAAGTTGCATGACAAGTCGCACACTATTTGAACCTTTCAAATCGGTGTGACTCCAACTTTGAAAAAAAGGTTCCTGCACTATTTTTGGCAATTTCATGTGTGACTTGCATAGATATCTGTACATGAAGTCGCACAGATATCAGGCAAGCCGCACTGACCAGCGGCTTTGAAATCACACTACAACTGTAGCAGCGAGAGATCAAAGGTGCATTCAGTGTGAACCAGGACTAAGGTGATTGTATAGGACTAGGCAATATTCTTTTATAAACAACCATGTCATATTTACATGTTCTTGTGAAATAGTTTGCAGAGCAGCCCCGATCCTCCTGCCCCCCCCCCTTCTGAATGCAAGGCTCTGTGTGTCCATTGACACACACAGTGTGGCTTGGCCTTACCCCCCTGCTCCTTTTTACAGGATTTGATTGACAGCTGCAAGAGCCAATGGCTCTCACTGCTGCCTCAATGTTCAGTGAGAAGGGAGAAAGAGCCATTTCACAGCGCTGGATTGAGATTTGGCTCAGGCAAGCATTTATCTGGGGGGGGGGGGGGATGGAGGTGGGCTGAAAACAAAAAAGAATGCATTAGAGTAAAAAAACACAACCACTTTGATGGCTTCACTACACAAAAATAGAAACAAACAAACAAAAGTGCCATAGAACAAATCCCATAGCAGTTAGGAGTCCTTGATATATTTACTTAGCTCGCTTTCATTTTTGACAGGTGAAATATTCACCATTAGTTTGCTTTTTTTAAAGCAACTTTTTAAATGAGATAACAGATTGTTCAAATATAAAATATTAAAACATTTACCTTTTGAACGCCGCCATTTTTTCTTCCACCAGCGGAGGCAGCGGGCTGGTGTTATTATTGGAGGTTGGCGGCTCGACGCTGTAGCTGCGGAAGCAGCAGAAGAACGAGCTGAAGATGCTTCTGTTTCGCTGCTTTTTCAGGCTGATATTGCATTGTGAAACTGCAGGACAAAAAAAAAAAAAAGGAGAAAAACAGGAAAATACATGAGAAGCTGAGCTCATCTGTGACTCAAGAAACATCCACGCTGCAAGGCGGTGTGTAGACTTTAGAATACAGAACATTTGGAAGCACATCTGAACTGTGACTTTGTATGCCTCTTCCTCCTAAAACATCAGCTATGATTTTGTTTTTCACCAACACTGCCTGCACCACATATACAGTGTGCATACTCCACATGTGCTAGCTGCACCCTACAGTCAGGCTGGTGGAGCTGCACTGAACATGTGGGCAATGAATCATTGGCCGCACTACTGACTGTGCACAGGGAAGGACAGCACAGAGCGACAGTACTGTGAATAAAGTATTAGCCCCCTTCCTTTTTTTTTGCATATTTGTCACACTTAAATGATTCAAATGAAACGAATTCTATCATTACACAAAGATAACTCGAGTAAATACAAAGCAGTTTTATTGACCACTTCCCCTCCTGAGGATCTACCCCCCTTCCCTGATCAAGCCATTTTTTGCGTTACGGCGCTGCGTTACTTTATTGTGCGGTCATGCAACGATGCACCCAAATTAAATTTACGGGTTTTTCTCACGAATAGAGCTTTCTTTTGGTGGTATTTGATCGCCTGTGCTTTTTTTTTTATTTTCTGCTCTGAAAAAAAAAAAAAAAAAAGACCGACAATTTTGAAAAAAAAAAAATGTATATTTTTAACTTTTTACTATTAAACATGTACAGTAAAAAAAATAAATAAATAAATTTTGTCATAAATGTAGGTCATAATGTATTCTGCGACATGTCTTCGCTAAAAAAAAAAAAAAAAAATCCCAATACGTGTAAATTAATTGGTTTACGTGAAAGTTATAGCGTCTACAAATGGCAGTATATATACACCGGGATTTTTTTTTTTTTTTTTTTTTAATTTTCATTTTTACTAGTAATGGCGGCAATCAGTGACTTTCAGCAGGACTGCGGCGGACATTCTGACACTGGGGGAGAGCTGAAAAATAACGTGCGGCGCTAAGCTGACATCCCCAGTGACACCAATACAATGACCAGTGCTAAAAAAAAAGAGCACTGACACTGTACTAATGGCACTGGGAAGGAAGGGGTTAACATGAGGGGTGATCAAAGGGTTAACTGTGTGCATTTTACTAGGGTGGTATGTGTGTGTTTCACTGTAAATCACACTGCTCTGGATGGCTGTGTTGTGCACAGCCATCCAGAGCAGTGTGCCCGAGCTGACAGGGAGGAGGACCGTTCGTAAACAAAACATTCCTTCTCCCCGTCAGTGATCGTCAGAAACCACCGGGCGCCGGCGAGTAATTACCGGCCAGGACCCAGTGATTGGCAGCCGCGGCTGCGAATGGTGGCGCGGGTAACTCAGTCTGATTACAAAAAAAAAATCTAAATTCATTTAAAATTGTAAAATATCACGCTGTGGCCCTGTACTGAAAAGTTTAGAGACTCCTGCTTTATCACAATCACCATGGAATGGGTCAAGGCTGCTGTTGATTGACAAAGAAAAGGATGGGAGGGGCAAAAGTTGTAGAACCCCCTTCCCTGCTCAGGCCACATTCTAGGACGATAAAATTAAAGTGTTAGTTCATCTTTACAGAAAAAAAAATAAAAAGTGAACTCCGTACACCCTCCCCACCCAGTGTTTGGATGCACACAACCCGGTTCGGGAGCGAACCTGCATGTCTGCCCCAATGCAAGTAGTTTGATAAGGGGACACACAAAAGGAGGAGTGGAGTGGACAGCTCTAGTGGGGAACTCAAGAAGAGGAGGTTCGGGCCCACTCTGTGCCATATACCACTGCACAGAGCAGCCGAGGATTTTCCAGAACCTCTCCCATCCTCTGGAACTCCCCATCTCAGTATGTCCAGTCAGTCAGCTCCTACCCTTTCCGCCTTTAGGCCATCCTTAAAAACTGATTTATTCAGGAAAGCCTACTCCACCTCCACCTGTAATTTACTGTACTTGAGTCACCTCCATCAGACAGACCGCCCTGCATATTACCTTTTATACCACCTCCCCCTCCATTTAGATTGTAAGCTCCAAGAACCGGGCCCTCCTCATCCTTCTGCAGTGAACTGATTTGTAATCGTACAGATCCGCCTTTGTTTTGTACAAGGGGCAGACTGACAACTCATGCCCACATCTTATGCTGAGCCTCCATGGTTGAAAAAACAGAGATGCAAAAAAAGAAAGGGGCGGTCCAGGGACAGTCTGGCTCCAGCCAGAAAATGAGGTCCATCTGATCTCCTTCTGTTTCTAGTGCACATGGTGGGAAGCTCACAGTGTGCAGTGAAATCAGAGTAAGCTGTTTTAGTCCAGGAGAGCAGCCGGTACACTGTGCAAGACTGGAGGGAAGGCTGGAGGTCAGATTTAACACACAACCTGAACCTACTCACCCTCCCTTCTTCCTACTAAACTACAGACACTTTGTATGCAGACATAATAAACCTCTTTGTAAATCTCTTGGTTTATTGCTATTATGTAATAATTGTTATAATAACATATTAATGTGACAGTCTTCGTTCCTTATAGATGAGGAGACTTGTAATTATGGTAATAGGGTTGTCATAATTTGCATACTCTCTTTCCTTCTCCAGTCTGCTTTGCCTAAAAATAAAGAATATATCATAAAAAAGAAACTCTGTTATGAAGTAAGACCATTGAACAAGCAATCAGAAGCTATTAAACAATAGGGGCTCATTCACAACACAGTGCTAACATGCATCGTGACCAGGGGTGGACTGACAACTCATGGGGCCCCGGGCAATAGGGGATCATGGGGCCCCTGTGTCCTTGCCCAAACTCAAAAAAGCCTATGAAAAAGGTACCAGGGGCATCTCATGGGGCCCCCTACTGACCCCGGGCCCTCTGGCAGTGCCTGAGTTTCCAAATGGTCAGTCCGCCCGTTTTGTACAGCGCTGTGCATACTGTTGATGCCATGTAAATCATAATAATAATGTTTGTTATTTTAGAAATAAAAATGATCACCTTTTGTACCACTAGCCCTTCCCTCTTAGATTGTAAGCTCCCAGGATCAGGCCCTCCTAGCCCTCTTGTATTGAACTGTATTGTTGCTGTACTGTCTCCCATTATATTGTAAAGCGCTGAGCAAACTGTTGGTGCTATATAAATCCTGAATAATAATAATAAATAAATAATAAAAGCCTTTCCAAACCGCATTACTTTGTTGAGAAACCTGCTTCTGAACAGTAACCAATGCATCCTTCCTCCACAGATGAACGCAAACAAAACGGCAGATGCAGGCAGAAGATAGTGGCGGAGGGCGATAGATATATCAGTCAACTGCCCCCAGCGTCTCAGCGACACATCTGCCCAACTGCTGTAGTAACAGGCGCTTTGTCAATAGGTGGCACTGCCGCCATGGACACGATGTCCCCTTCCCATTGTAAACAGAACAGGGAGTAGGCACATATATAAAACTTTAATTACTCATAATTACCATGTTCCACTAAAGGTCTCTGGCACTGATGTCTTATTTATTTTTATTTCCAGCTGGATTCAAACAAAGCAGTAAAGCAGAAGCAGGAAGGAAAGCGGATGATTAAGCAGTTCATGGAGGGGGAGCCCAAGCTCAGGTTCAGAGGGCCCTGGGCTGGGAGCTGAGCGGACTCATGCAGAGCTCAGTAGTGGATCTTCTTTCTCAGGGGTTACCGGGAGAAAATGATGAAACAGCCCATTATATAGTGTTTATAGAACTGCAATGAGGCCTAGAAATTTATATATATATATATATATATAAATATAGTGAATAGCCTAGGTGGTCAGACTTCTACCGCTCCTCCTCTCCATGTGCCGATGATTGCCTGTGACCTGAGAGATGCTGGGAGGGATTTAAAGTGGTTGTAAACCCTACCAAATGCCCAGTGAAGTGCTTAGCCTCAGGTGATACACAGAGATGAAACAAATCCTACATAAGTTGTACCGGTTTAGCTGCAGACCTCCCCCCCCCCTCCTCTGCATACATGCAAAGTCCAGAATTTACACAGAATTTGTGAAATTCAGAAATCAAAGGGCGGGGATCTGATCTCACACACACCGCACAGCATAGAGCAAGGTATAATCTGAGAACTGAGTGGAGGGAAGGGACAAACCCACCTCTACACAATCTTATTATTTATTTCAGGTACTTATATATTGCCGTCAATTTTACGCAGCGCTTTACATATATATTGTACATTGACATCAGTCCCTAACCCTCAAGGGGTGTACAATCTAAGGTCCCTAACTCACATTCATACATACACACACTAGGGACAATTTAGACAGGAGCCTAGCAGAGTACCCGGAGGAAACCCACGCGGGCACAGGGAGAACATGCAAACTCCAGGCAGGTGGTGCCGTGGCTGGGATTCAAACCAACGACCCTAGTACTGCCAGGCGGAGGTGCTAAGAGGAGAAGTTCACCTTTCAGAGCATGTTACACACATAATCCGAGTGTAACATGCCTCCCGCACATCTAATCCCGCCCCCTGTGATGGTGGGCAGGCAGGGGGGTCCTCTCCCTGCATCTGCTGTCTCATTTTGAAAATAGAGTGGCCATTTAGGGCTCCGCCCACACAGGCACATCATTCATTCACTGCGATCTGTAAATGAGAGAACTACAAGTACCGTCAGCCATTGCAGATGTTAGACTGTTACCTATGCCCTTCAGAGCTAGCAGCTACCTGGAATTATTGTTCTATATTTTTATTATTTTATGTATGCGCTTGCTAGTATATTTCTTTGACATTCATTCGCTGCAATCTATGAATGAGAGAACTACAAAAACAATCTGCCATTGCAGCTTGTAATTCTCAGTGAACTGCAAGGGCGCAGATGAGCGCTCTCATTCGCAATCCCTGCAGTTTGTAGATACAGGGATATGGGCTAAAAGCTGTAGGACATGTCTGCAGGATCCTTGCATTGCACCCCTGATCCACTGATCACAGGTGCAATGCTTTCCAAACTCCTGAGGGAAAAATAAATGCACATTCTTTTTTTTTTTCTGCAAAAACATGTGCATATCTTTTCCCAAAAAGTGAACTTGGCCTTTAAAGAGGAAGTTTAGTCTCTTCTCTAGTGGCTCAGAATCCAATCCCTTCCCTCTGGCACCATTATACCGCATGCTCAGATGTACTGAATGACCCTGCTGAGCCTACGGTTCCTGGCAAAGCCCTTCGGCACATCTGTGCAAGTGCAGGAGAATTTCCCACGCATGCGCAAAGGTTTGAGATTCCCATAACAGTCGCCTTGAGCATGCGCACTTGGGAACTGAGGCTCAGAAAAAGGAGGGGGGGGGGGGGGTAACAAACATCATTTTCGTCTAGGCTAAAATGCTCAGAAAATAAAAACAAAACGAAAAAAAAAAACAAACTTTAACATTCTTACATGGTGTATACTTGCCTCTTTTCAAAGCACCTAGTGTGATTTGTGTTTCATTCCTCTGCTGTCTGCATCAGTCACATCCGTCAGTCTGTGCCTCACAGCAGCAGCACACAGCAGGTGATTGATGACCTCAGCTGTGCACATTTCCCTAATGTGGGAAGCACAGTGGCTAAATGGTCAGCACTTCCGCCTGGCAGTACTAGGGTCGTTGGTTCGAATCCCAACCACGGCACCACCTGCCTGGAGTTTGCATGTTCTCCCTGTGCCTGCATGGGTTTCCTCCCAGACTCCAAAGACACGCTGGTAGGTGAATGGGATCCTGTCTAAATTGTCCCTAGTATGTGTATGTATGACTGTGAGTTAGGGACCTTAGATTGTACACCCCTTGAGGGTTAGGGACTGATGTGAATGTACAATATATATGTAAGGTGCCGCGTAAATTGATGGCGATATACAAGTACTTGAAATAAATAAAGTGCATCTCGGAGCAAGGAAAAAAAAAAAAACAAAACAAAAAACACACACCTCTCTCTGCAACGGACACTTCATGTTTTTCCTCTTTAAAAAGATTGCAAGCTCAAAAAAATACCAGCTGATCTTCCCGAAATCCTGTGAGCTCCTACCTTCATGTGTATGCTGACAACACTACCTCTGCTACTCTGAAATTTCAAGCCGCCTTGCTCGAGTTTTTAGTTTTTATAGCAACGTAGGGAACGGGATTAGGAACTGAAGAACAAAAGCTTTAGGGAAAAAAAAAAAACCTGCAGCAGGAAGCGTAAAAGTCACATACTTGTTACAATATTTTAGAAGCTTGTCACAGTCTTGAAACAAAGTCTCTGTTGCCCCATTTGATCGTCTGCCAATACGTTGACTGTGGAATGGACAGGAATCTGCATTCGGTGTGTGCATGCGCAGCATTCCTTACCCCCTTCCCAAGGGCCCGGCCAACAAACAATCCTTTCTTCTACAAGATGGCCAGGAAAACTGTCAGAAATTCCCCTGCAGAGGAGAGCTTGTCTCTGAAAACAAGGATGACCATGCCTACCACATGGGGAAATCTCTGCACCTGATGCGCAAATGCTGAGTACAGCAACAACAAAATCCATTTCTTTTCATATAACTGCAATAGACTTTTGGGAACATACCAGATGCAGAGCCTCAACACCGGCAAGACATGCAAAGAAGCTATGAGGGTCAGAAGAGCTGAAAAAGAAGAGACCCGAACTGAAAAATAGACATAGGCATCTCCTTCTGAAAATGTCGGTAGTCTGTGGGGGATTTGAAGTCTGTGGAATCAGCATGACAGCCAGAGCATGATAAAGAATGCGGATCAGAAGGTCAAAAACTTAGTGCAGATTGCACTGGCTGAGTGCGTGATGCATGTTCTTAGTAAATCTCGTCTCCAGGACTTCTCCCATCCTATGGAACTCCCTACCCCAATCTATCAGACTATCGCCTACTCTGCTGACTTTTAGGTGATCACTGAAAACCTCTCTCTTCAGGGAAGCCTATCCTGTCCTCAGCTAATACTGGAATCCTCTACTCTTCCAACCACTCCATCCCCCACAGTTACTACCTTTTGTACCACTAGCCCCTCCCTCCTAGATTGTAAGCTCCCAGGATCAGGCCCTCCCAACCCTCTTGTATTGAACTGTATTGTTGCTGTATTGTCTCCCGTTATATTGTAAAGTGCTGAGCAAACTGTTGGTACTATATAAATCCTGTATAGTAATAATAATAAATCACCAGAAACACCAGAAAACTAGGATTTTCAAAAAGAATGGCTGCTTACCCATGTCCCTCAAGAAAAAAAAAATCCAATTCTTGGCTTTTGCAACAGAGACAAATGTATTTTCCCGTCCCCCCGCACTTTTCTCCTGTCTTCCTAGCTTATCTCATTGGCCTTCTGCCATCGCTCTCTGACCACGCATCTAGCAAGGAGCTAGCACTCGTCTTGAGAACCATGCGCTTTTGAGACCAGCACCGTCATCAGGCATGTCAGTTCCCCTGTTCCACTCCCTTGGTCTTAGTATTGGTTGCTAGGGCTATTGGTCCTAGTGACCAATAAAAGACAGGAACTAGAGAGCCCACTAGCTGACAGGCTCTCTCCCCCAAGTGTACTCACTGAACACTGGAACGGTGGCAACTGAGCTCAGCTTTAGTAATGCTAATAAAAATCGGGCTCCTATCAGAGGGGAGCAGAGACGTTGGAAAGAAAATGAATAAAGAGTAGATTTTCTTCACATTTCAATAACAATTTATTGAAGACGTTAATACGTCATTTTTTCATTCTTCAGTGGACGGAATGTTCTAAGTCCGCTGCCTTCAAGTAGTACACCCTCCGGAAAAGTCCCCACAATTCCACAAAAGTCTGCGTTCCCTGACACATGCTGTGGTTCCTTCTGCCGTCCCTGACGTCACAATGGGGACTTAGGAGGTACCAGTGAGCACAGCGGGAGATGCAGACATTTAACACTCCTGAGAGTGCTGAATGTTGAAGCCGTTCCCAGAAGCTGTGAGTGGAGAAAGAAGAGTATGAGAAGTATTCAGAAGTTAAAAGAAGTGTAGATTTGCTTCTTTTTCTCCAAATTATGCTTCCTAGGTGGATGCAGCATCCGTCCGCCGCCGGCTCTAAGGGAGAGAACTGAGCGATCACATGGCCGCTGATCACCGAGTTCTCACCGCCGCTCTGAGCAGAGAGTGGTGACCGTCAATCACCGTTCTCTGCCCTGCCCCCCACTGCACTCACTGGAGCACTTGGCTGCGGAGGGGGATGAAGTGGCTGGCTCAGGCTCTTAGCATATCGCTAAAGTCGGGATCTTTCCCCAGCTTGGACCAGCTGAGTGACGTCAGCCAACAGAGGACCTCAGCTCGCTGTCAGCTGAAAACGGGTCCCAGGAGCGCAGAACGAACTGCACTCCTGTGATCCAGAGAAGTACAGCTCCTTTAGAGAAGAATCACTGTATATTTTTACATTATACCAATGGACCAGTATTAGTGGTGCACCAAAATGAAAATTCTAGTGCCGAAACCGAAAATTCAAAATGCACAGCTTTTAACCCCTCGCCTACAGGGCACTTATACCCCCTTGCTGCCCAGGCCAATTTCCAGCTTTTAGCGCTGTTGCACTTTGAATGACAATTGCGCGGTCATGCAACACTGTACCCATATGAAATTTTTAGCATTTTTTTGTGAAAGATAGAGCTTTATTTTGGTGGTATTCACCTCTGGGTTTTTTTTATTTTTTCTTAAACCAAAAACCACTGAAAATTTTTAAGAAAAAAAAAAAAGTTTCTCACTTTTTGTTATAAAATTTTGTAAATAAGTGATTTTTCTCCTTCACTGATGTGCGCTAATGAGGCTGCAGTGATGGGCACTGATAGGTTGCACTGATGGACACTGATAAGGGCACTCATATATGGCACTGATTGGCGGCACTGAAAGTCAGCTCAGATGGGCACTGATATGTGGCATTGATGTGCACTGGTAGGCACTGATATGTGGCATTGATGTGCACTGGTAGGCACTGATATGTGGCATTGATGTGCACTGGTAGGCACTGATATGTGGCACTGATGGACACTGACAGGTAGCACTGCTGGGGCTACACTGATCATCAGGGCACACTGATCATCAGTGTCCTGATGATCAGTGTACATGTCCCCTCCGCGGAATGCCGATTACCGTCTCTCCTCTCGAGTTGTCAGCGTGACAGCTCGAGAGGAGAGAAATGCCGATAACCGGCATTTGCCTGTTTACATGTGATCAGCTGTGATTGAACACAGCTGATCACATGACCGAGCTGACAAATTCGGCTCTTTCCGTGGATCGGTGATGCGCTTTGTCCGAGGGACACAGAGCACCGCCGTTCGCCGTGATGCATGCTCCCAGAGCCGCGCATGCGCAGTTAGAATGGGAGGACGTCATATGACGTCCTCCCAGAACGAGAGAACCACCTTGCACCAGTCATTTTACTGTATGGCGGGCGGGAGGTGGTTTAACATGAATATTTTTTTTTTGGAAAAAAATACACGGATTAAAAAACAAAAAATACAAACCGTATATATCCCAGTTTTTTTTTAATGTAAAATATGAAAGAGCATGTTACGGCGAGCAAATAGATACCAAACATGTCACGCTTTAAAATTGCACACACTCGTGGAATGGCGTGAAGCTGCGGTACTTAAAAATCTCCATGGTTGATAATTTAAAAATTTCTACAGGTTAGAAGTGTAAAGTTACAGAGGAGGTCTAGTGCGAGAATTATTGCTCTTGCTCTGTCGTTCGCGGCGATACCTCATGTGTGTGGTTTGAGCACAGAGGGAAAGGGGGCACTTTAAATTTTTTTTTTTTATTATTTAATTTTTTTTTTTTTCTTTTATCACTTTTATTCTTATCACAAGGAATACAGGCATCCCTTGTAATATAAATAATTAGTGACAGGTCCTCTGTATGGACACCACATCTCTCCTCTGCAATGTAAAGCAGTAAATAAAAAAATAAAAAAAAAGGCCTGAACGGGAAGTGACATCGCTCTGAACTACAAGGGCATAAAAATGAATGGCAGCCATTTTTACTTCACTCATCTCTATGCCCTGCACCGGGATCTATGGTAGTTCTCAGCCTTACCTGAGAAACCGAGCGGCGGCCAGTGGCGGTGAGGGGCGGGGTTATTCGGCACCTGTATCAATGCTTTTTTCATTTCTGCCAACGGCCGAAAGGGGTGTCTTTTGCAGTTTCGGCCACCGAAATTTCGGTGCATCCCTAACCAGTATACCTACATATAAATACCGTATCTGTGGGATCCCTCTAGAAGCTGGAAATTACTGAAGTAGACACCGAGCAATATAACCCCATAACACGAAATGCCCGAACAAGGACCTTCATGACAGGTTTTAATGAAAGCTGCAAATTTCTAAAACTTACCTTCCATATTAAAGCTTGTATGACTGCATTGTCATATATTTTAACAAAAACAAGCATGAATACCCATAGCCAGGGCTTCCAGGTAATATTGACTTTAAATAGCCTATGGCGTCCCTTAAACAGCGTAGGCCGGAGCCTAGTGTGATACAAGCAGCCAGAAACCTTATACCAGCCATTTGGAAAAGGCCAGAATCTTGGCTCTAGTGTCAGCGCTAGCTAAGTGAGAACTAGTGGGCGGAAGTCTGTGCACTTTCCATAAAGCTATTTTAAACAAATTCAGCGGAACCAGGACAAACCAACATCTGCCCACACTGGGTCAGGAAGGGCACACAGTTCCACCTCACAAAAGTTGTGATAATTCTGGGGGGTTTTTTTAGACTGGAATTCAAAAATTTCCAATCAAATCTGAATGTGGAAAAGGTTTGTGCACCAATGGTCACAAAAAAAAGAAGTCTGGCAACGCCAACTTCTACATCACATCAGAACAAATTTACACATACACCATGTAAAATACATTTGGGAACAGGTCAATCACATCTCTTTCCACTTGACCAGTTGGGGGTGTGCGAACGGCCGCAGTATGTTACTACTCCTAAAACCATGCATGGACACGCTTCGCCCAACCAACCGGGGCTTCATTTTAGAGGTGAAACCTCTATGATTACGTTGTGGTGGACAGGGCGAAACATCAGAACATGGTTTTAGGAGGAGTAACATACTGAGGCCGTTCGCATCTCTTTTCCACTTGACGAGCTGGGGCTGTGCAATTATAGTTTCGTTCCCATATGTTCTACCACTTTCTGGATGAAGCATTTGACAACCTGCTCCCATTTAACACTGTGAGACACCAGACATGCCTAGCATCACAACGCCTTGGACAGTATGAGCTATTGCACGGCACCGTGAGACATGAAATGCATACACGGCAATGGTTTTACTAGCTGAAAGATCTGTAAAGTGTTGCACAGTCCCTTGTGCTTCTTCACAGCTGCTGCAATAAACTTCTACACATTGCAAAGTTGCCCTTTCAGGAAGGCCAACCTGCGCAAGGAGTACAAATATTGGGACCCCCCCCCAATAGGTGCCTGTGATAATATGTGGGAACAAAGCGCAATCTTAAAACAAACTTCACTGATTTGTCTAAGTTCTCATTCACATGGCCACATTGGTTTACATGGGATCCTCCTGGCCTCAACCCTACTGAACACCTTTGGGATGACCTAAACCACTGATTGTGAGCCAGGCCTTCTCATCCAGAATCAGTACCTGACCACATAAAACGTGCCCAGCTCAATAAAGACATGGATTGACCAGTTTGGTGTAGAGCAGCCTTTCCCAACCTTTCCAGTATCAGGGAACCACACCTAAAAGTTACTATACCTACAACTCATGATGCAGTGGAAAGAATTCTCCTTTCATTTGTGGTCATTGAGAAGAATTACCCCCTTAGAGACAGCTAAAAAGATCAGTCAAGAGGAACCCTGGCTGAGAAACCTTGGTATAGAGGAACTATGTCCTGAACAGAGACCTGACCTCAACCCTACTGAAGACCTTTGGGAAGAACTAGACCACCAATTGTGAGCCAGGTCTTCGTATCCAACATCAGTACCTGACCTCACAATTGGTGGCCAGCACCATACAGACATGTTTTGATGAGATTGATACGGAGAACTACAGTGTCCTGCATACAGCCTTGACCTCAACCCTACCGAACACAATTTGAGATAAACTGGACCACTGATTGTCAGCTAGGGGGTCTCATCCAATATCGGTACCTTGCCACATAAATGATGGCCAGCAACATAAAGACATGTTTTAATGAGTTTGGTGTGGAGGAACTAGAGTGTCTTGAACAGAGCCCTAACCTCAACCCTATTGAAGACCTTTGGGAAGAATTAGACCACCAATTGCTAGCCAGGTCTTCGTATCCAACATCAGTACCAGACCTCATAATTGGTGGCCAGCTCCATAAAGACATGTTTTGATGAGTTTGGTGTGGAGGAACTAGAGTGTCTTGAATAGAGTCCTGACCTCAACCCTACCGAGCAGCTTTGGAATTAATTGGAATGCCGACTGTGATCCAGGCCTCAGTACCTGACCTCACAAACTTTCTTTTGGCTGTATGGCCACAAAATCCCACAGAGCCACCTCAAAGTTCTGCAAAAAGCCTTTCCAGAGGAATCTGGGGAGAGGGGACAACTCCATTATGTCCACAAAGCTCATATAGCTGTGATGGGCAGGGACTGCACAAAATGTTGACATATAGTACATACCATTTGCCTTTGCACTACCTTCCTGAAAATGGAAGCAGGTTTCCATAGCCAACAGCTGCTTTTGTAACTTCCTGCACAATGTAAATAGATCCAGTAGAAAACCGTAATAGGTAACCAATTCAATACAGAAATGTATTCAAACGATGGCTGTTTTTAGCAGTGGGATAGAATCTTAATGAGATCTCTTACAACAAAAAGCCCCTGGTCCATGTTCTGAATCCGCAAATCGAAAGTGTCAAGCTTTGCTGTTGCCATGTTAAATCTGCAAGAAGGTTATTAATATTCACATCCTGTCCCTTAGCTTCCTGAATTGAAAACAAACATTATTACATTGCAAGTCTTCTCCATGAGAAAAACAATAAAAAAAATCTCTAAGCCACACACTATGCAATTTGCACAAGCAGCAGATGTAAGCGCCGTACAAAAAGTCCTTTCAAGGTGAACACAGCTGAGTACTACTGGTGTCTAGGCTGACAACACTACATGGCCTCGAGGCTGGGTTCACATCAAAACCACATTGATGTACATTACATACAAGAATTTATGCTGAATAGGGACAAAATGCAGGTAAGTACACCCAATATACAGTCTATGGACCTTCGTCCACAATATTGCCAGGTGCTGCGAGCATTCATTATTCCATAAAGGTCTCAACTGTGTATTCTTACCGCGCATGCGCACTGCAGCCCCATTCTTTTCCTATGGATGAGCCACACTCTGCAGGACAGCATACGGCTACCATGAGTACAGATCACCCATTGGAAGGAATGGTAAGAAGGAGGCACGGTTGGGACTTTTTTTCAAGCAATAGCTGTGTGGGGCCACCTAGGGTAGGGTTAGAGCAGTGTTTCTCAACTCCAGTCCTCATGGACCCCCAACAGGTCATGTTTTCAGGATTTCCATTATTTTGCACAGGTGATTTGATCAGTTTCACTGCCTTAGTAATTACCACAGCTGTTTCATCTGAGGAAAATCCTGAAAACATGACCTGTTGGGGGTCCATGAGGACTGGAGTTGAGAAACACTGGGTTAGAGTATTAATGTCAGAACTAAAAATTCATGTATTCATGTGGTGATCTAGCTAGGAACATACCTCCTGTATTACAATGTCTCCACTCTGGATGAAGGTGCACAGGGATAGCAGCATTGTCAGTCTGGGGGGGGACGGGAGTGTTAGATGTACCAGAAGATTTAGGTACACGATAAAGTATGAGCCGAAATTTGGCTTCTGTTTGTTAATCAGTTACAGCAAAACAGTTTTTCTTTTTCTTTTCGGGATAAATGTTTTACATGAAAAAAGGCTGATCATTGTAAGCACCCCTGTCTTTGACAAATGGTTTGTTTCAACACTCTAAACTGCTACATTTGCCAAATGTATTTTTAATTTTTTAAATAATTTTCTGTCAGAATGGTTTACTTTTAAGCTTTACTTATTAAAATACAGAAAAAAAAAAAAAAAAAAAAAAAAAACAACACACACACACACAAAAGAAGAAGTATTACCCTGGTACCATTTTTATTTTTTATTTTATTTTTTTAGAGCAGACGGTCAGCTGTCTTGTAAAAGCAATAGTAGCAACAAACTAGGCACTGGATCACTTTTAATGGTTTACTTTTATGCTTTACTTATTAACCATTAGCCGCCCGGCCAATGG